ACTTTACAATGCTCTCTCTCTCTCGCTTTCGCGCTCTCTCTTTCTCTATCTCTCTCATTTCAATTCAGCTATGTATATGTGTGTCGAAGTACCGTTAGTTGGTCTCTTATTAAGCGCGTTGCTGACTGTTATTGTGGCGGCGTCTTTCGCCACACCACCCCCCACCCCCCACCCCCCACCCCCTTTGCCGCCTCTCACTCAGACTCTCGCTGTGTTACGTGCTACGATGTAGGCCAAAAATGTATAGGGCGGGAGCATCGACGCCCCTGTTTTTACACGATGGACGTGTGGAATTATCTAGGAAAAATGGGATATTTTGTAGATACGAAAGAGCACACACACACGCACACACACGCACACACACGCACACACACACACGCAACACACATGCCGACACCAAAAGTTTCTCAGTCATCTGAAACATATATACAACTACAGACAGAGCCATGGGAATACAATTTAAAGCACGCTGTTGTTCGCAAATATATGTATATATAAATATATGTGTTGATATATTTATATACATAAATATACATTTTCAGGAACCAACCACAGAGCAACACAAAAAAAATTAAAATACAAAATTAAGTTGTTTTTAGAGTTAATTCGAAAAGTTTTTGAGAAAAACTTTTAATTGGTTAGGTGTTGGCCGGGCGTAGTTTGTGTTGCTTATTTTCGTACGTATTGTTTAGAGCGCCGGTTGCAACAACTTCTTCAATTTTGCTGTTAAGCATCACTTAACACTGAGGTGCATTTTGTCTAGGTGTAAATTACGACCAAATCCGGCAATTCACGCCATAAGCCTTTTGTACAGAAAACTGACTCGGAATTTTGCATGGCATTGCGCTTCGTCAACCATAAAGCTTTGGCTAAAATCTCATTAAAATGAGCAAAAATTTAATTGAATTCCATTTGCCAGCTAACCAGGATTAAATATATATATATATAAGTATTGCTTGCCAGCTCACAAAGACTCGATGATTGACGAAACTCAGGTCTCGTTATATGCACTAAGCTCTTTCTGGATTTAAATGAACTCCAAATTTGAATAGAATTATTGCCTTAGCTAAACTACGTACTTGGTTGCCAAAGCAAATCGTTTTTGTTATTTTCCCGATGCTCGTATATCATGAAACTTGAGCTAGCGCTTACACTGGCCTTTGGGCATGTTCTACTTTTGTTTGGCAAAACATCCCCTGACCTCGGCAATTGAAATAAATATTATCTGGGTGTATTTGGCTTCCTTCTGGCGTGTTTCATTTTAGCTCTATATATACATTCGATTTAAATATATGTATATAGATTGATAGACAGATTGGCATTTTGCAATCACATATGCAAACTTCGTTAAAGTTAATTCCGGAATTCCGGCTGGCAGCAACGAGTAATGACAAATTGAAAATTTACATGAATAGAAGGCTGTCAAATTCAATAGTGTGCGATTTGCAAATCTAATCATGGCCCCGCCAATCCAGCAGCTTCAACGCCCCACTCAACGCACCCTTAATGCTTGATTTCCATCTACATCTCCACCTCCATCGGCACCTCCACCTCCATCTCCCTCGCTACAGCCAACGTCGCACAGCAGTAGTGTGCGCAGAAAACTATGCTACACTTTTTGCCTGAATGTTTGCTGTTTAGAAGTCGACCAATTTTCCAGTTGAACCTTTGAGGCATACATAATTAATGCCCATTGTAAATGGACTGGGACTGGAACTGGCACTGAAATGGGTGAACAATCAAATGAGAAATCAAAAAGCGCACACAATCACAATGCCCATACACACACACAGGTGGACAAACTGTGAACTTCAGACCCTGTCGCCCACTGGGCGGCACTATTGCCCGTTCATTGCCTTTTGTTATTCCCACACTAAAACACGCATACGCCACACCTGTGTGTATACACAGTGTATAGACCTATGTGTACATATATAAATATATAAATGTGTGTCTGTGTGTGTGTGTGTCTGCTTGTACACATGTATGTGTTGTCTTTGTGCTTCATTTACAACTTTACACAACATTGTAAACATAATAACAAGGCGCCTTACGTCGCTGTCACTGCTACTGCTGCCGCTGCTGCTGCTGCGTCGGCTGCTGCTGCTGCTGTTGTTACTGTTGCTGCTGTTGTTACATTGTGTGTTCGTGTGTGAGTGTGTGCTAACACACACAGGGGTTAGGCGGCATGGCAGCACTGCACGTCAGCTGCAAAGAGCGCGACGGTTAAAGCGGCGCTCACTACTCTCAGCAAGTGGCTATGGAGTGCCTGCCAAGAAGACCAACGACAACTATTGACATAGTGACACAATCAGACCACACAAACAACGCTCACATAGACGCTCACACACGCACACACACACACACACACACTTATTTTGGCTCTCGTGGTGAGCATTTGACGAATTCACATTTGGCTGCAGCGGTTTGCAAAGAGCGCGAGCTCTAAGTAAACACACACACCTTATTCCTCGCTGAATAACTAGGCCAGCAGCTGGAGCTGCAGTCAGCATCCATTGGATGGATGCACAGGCATTTAACAAAAGCCTCTGCCGCGGCCACGACATCGGCATCGGCACAGCCATCGGCAACACACGAAGTGCGCGTGAGCAGTAGCGCAGATTAAGCCGAGCTCTGTAGAGAGCCGATGTGCGCCCTTCTGCTTATACGAATTGTATCTATCGCTGTCACTCACGTTCGCTCGCTCGCTCGCTCGCTCTCTCTCTCTCTCGCTCTCGCTCTCTCGTGTAGGTGTATAAGGATATTTTCTGTTTTTATTGTTCTTGCTTGCTACAAGTTGGGAATTTTTAAGCACACGATGCATGAAATCGTTGGGCTTTTTTGTGTCTCTCTCTCTTGCTCACTCTCTCACTGTCTCATGCTCTCTTTCCTGCTCTCTCTCTCTCTCCCTCTCTTTCTGCAGTGTACGGAGTGAGCATTGACATTTACTTTTATACGAACGAAATGAGCATGGGCATGGGCATTGGGGAATTTTGGTTTGAAGATTGTATTTAAAAGAGGTGTACGCAGGGGGCAGGCTTTTGGAGGAGGTTGTAGCTGGAGTGAAGCTTGGCGGTGCGCTGCGTTGCGTTGCGTTGAAGATTGTTGTTTCATGCATGAGTATGAGGGCTGGCGGTGTGACTGAGTGCCTGACTGCGCGCACTGGTACCCAGCCTGGTTGTTGCTGGCAACTGCTGGCATACCATGCCACATGCTTGAGATATTTTTAGTGTTTTGTCACACAAGCAGACATCTGTTTCTGAAATACTCACATACACACAAAGTCGCGCACAAATATAATTAAGATGTGGAGCCAACAAAGAGAACAGCTTCCTTTCTGCCTCCCTCTCACACGCACACATACTTACGCCTTAGTTGTCATATATATATGTATATATGTATATATATATGTGTGTTTGTGTGTGTGTGGGTGCGTGTGTATGTAAATAAGTAGCAAGTACATATTTATGTCCGTGCACGGACTTGAAGAATTTAGCACCGACCAATTTTCGGGCGTGCGAAATAGTCCCCCAATGAAATGTCTAAAATGTATCAATCTGAGCAGCCGAAAAGAAAATACGCAGCACAGGCAACACGAATCTGTATGCCTATATTCAAGGACACGTAGCCCTCAGTCCATGTGCACACACACACACTCACTCGCACACACATACACTTTGGCACAACTTAACCAAGTACTCGTAGAGCTTGTAGTGGGCCCAAAGATGCGCTTGCCATCTTCAAGCTGATGCCGCTACTGCGTTTTTCATTTTGTTTCTTTCTTGTTTATTTTTGTATGGCCCTGACATGAGGCACGGCTTGCGTGATAGTATAAGGGTATTCCCAGCTCATATATGTTTTATATGATTATTATGCTAAACTGAATTTACTAAGGTAAATTGCATACTTAAATTAAGAAAAAATAAAGGTAATCGTTTTTAATGCGGCATTTCATAATTATATTAAGTATTTATGTTTTCTTGTTGCTTTTCTTTTTATTTACATGTATCTTTAGCAAACAAAATTGTACTAAGGTTATGAAAATAAATCTCAAAAAAGCCAAAATCTATAAAAATACATATAATATATATAAATATTTATTTAAATAATTTTATGAATTTCTTTTAGTTTAAAATATTTAAATAAAAAAATAAAGAAATTGTGCATAGTAAATAAAAATAAATTTCATATATAGTATATAATATATTATAATAATAATTTTACAAAACATATAAATATTTTAATTATTTTTATTAAAAACATTTTATCATTAGCTTTCTATGTATGAAAAATGTCTCAAAAAATTTCAAATAAAAATAAAAAAGTTTAAAAAAGGCTTAAAGACATAAAAATACATGCATACATATAATATATATATATTTAATAAGAATAAAGAATTATTTTAAAACAGATTATAATTTATATATATATATATATATATATATATATATATATATATATATATGTGTGTGTGTTTCTTAACTATAATTGATCGAAATTAGCGTCAATCGTCGTAAAATGTTTGCGCTCTCATTTAAAAATTCACTTTGATGGAAAAATATTTAAAGCGCCTTTTTTGCAGTTCAATTAAAAACACAATCAAATTATAAGCCGGCACAGTTAAAAGAGAGGTATTATTACGAGTATTTATGCAACTGAACGTTGCCCAGTTTATGATGAAGGACACACGGACTTGATTACATTATGCAGCATCATGCTGACCTCACCAGCACTCAACTTTGACAAGGCACATAAAACAAGTAGAGCCCGAAACGATGTGCAACAGTTTTTTTTTTTTTTTTTGCCCATTTTTTTTTTTATTTTTCCGTCCTCTTTTCATTATTCAATAACAAAATGCACCTGTGTGAAGAGGAGGCAAATGTGAGCACGTCACTGGGCTAATATCGAAATAAGTATCAAGCAAACAATTGGCAATTATTAGCCATTTCTTTAGGCCGAGTTGTCGATGGCGACGTTTCGATCAAACGAACGACATTAACAAGCCAAATAATAGAATAAGTTTTCTATTATTTAATCGAAATTTTCAATTTTCAACACAAGCATTTCATAGAAAACTGTGAGTTATCATTCTCGTCGATTAAAAAGATGTATTACTGAAATTGCATAGAGAGATTTAGGAGAGGATTAAGGACCAGTACCATGCCCTGTAAACGTTCGACCTGTTCGACCTTCCGTCTGGTGGTATCCAAATACTTTAAGAAGCAACGCAAATATAAGGGCACCTTCTTAACGGCGATGGTAATGCCAATCATATTTTCTCTGTTTATCATTTTGGTGCGATATACGCCCAACATTAACGATATTGAAAATCAATCAACGCAAGCGATCCAATATGAGGTCTGGTGGCAGGAGCTTATCGAGAAGATAAACAAACGTCGCGAGCGCATGATCAAAGAGGACAGAAGGTAATATTAAGCATACTATTGATTGATTGATTGATTGATTGATTGATTGATTGATTGGTTGGTTGATTGATTGATTGATTGATTGATTGATTGATTGACTGATTGATTGATTGACTGATTGATTTCACGCTTCAACAGCTTTAAGAGCAACGTCTTTGTGCCACATATAGGTGTCGGCTATGCCCCAAACACAACGGCTGGCATCCGTCGACTGGTCGAACGCGCGCTGAGCGGCATGTCCCTGAAACTGGACGAAATCTATGGATATTCCAGTTGCGACGAAATGCGTATCCGATCGCAAATGAAATATTTTATTGCCAGCTTGTGCTTTCACGACATCAGCGAATCAATTCGCGGCCTGCCCGTAAAGCTGAATTTTTCCATATTGATGTCATCGGAGTTGAGGTATTACGACAACACCTGGATAGGCGATTCGTGGCATATCGATTTGACGCTCGACACGCATCCATCGACAATTTCCGACACTGCCAACATAACAACCGCATCGAACTATGTCCGTGAGGGCTTCATATCTCTGCAGCACTCCGTATCGCTTCAGTATCTGAAGATGGCATCCGGCGACGCTGAGTTACCAACGGTTATCTTACGACCCTTCAAACTAAATAATACCGTACACGAGCTAATAGCCGAGGGCGTTGACTCGGCTGTATTAGTGCTGATAATTGGATTCATGTTTCCCGTCGCCATTTTGACAAAGGTTCGTACTATCGACACACGCACACAGACACATGCACACACACACACACACACAGACACATACATACAGACGTGTATATTTGAGCCAGATAGGTTTGTCACTGGCCATTTGGGCAAATATATTGCTGCGCACATAATTATAGTTATTTAAGGCTGTTGCTTTTTAGGTCTTGTCAATTATCATGAGAGATATTCGATAGACAAAGCAAAGCAATCAACTGCAACATTTTTTTTCGAGTTTCGCTATGCAAACGAGGCGCTCAGAAGCAACTATCGATAATCTTAAGTGCAAAGCTTTAAAAAGTGTTGACAGCTTATAGCTCAGACATTGTTTTGCCTTTTAGAAGCTGAGGCTTAGAAGTTATGGCTGGAGTAGACATCCGCTGCAAGAACTACAATTTGCCACGTCCAGCTGAATAAGCTGCCAGCTATTCATGAGATTAGATAATTAGTTCCCTTTAAAGTTATACCCAGCACAACGTTTTTTCCCCAACTCTCGAAGCACTTCAAAGTATAATTTTTTTGTGATTTCATTCAGCAGCTCCTCGGCTGCCGTCTGCATTTGCTCTAGCATAGCCATGTCCTTTCATATAGCTCTTCAAACTTTGGCAAAAGAAAGAGTATATCAAAGTGGGGAAAACTTTGAAGCAGAATCCTTTCACCATTTCTTGGAATAGGCAAGAAGTAAAGACGAGCCAAAGCGCACGGCCAGAAAGCAATCCAAAATCGAAATTTGTACAGAGCTCTCATAGACTGACAGAGCTGCGACGGCATCTCTAACCGATTTATTTTTCTTTGAAGTCCTCGACAAGATGACTAAAAAGACACCATTTAGACCTAATACACAATCAATACAAGACTTGATTAATAAACTCCGTCTAGAAGAATAGTTATTCAACAAATAAAAAGCCATAGTAAACTATGTGATGGGAAATTCACCTCAGGGTATCTCCTAGTCGAGCAGTCCCGACGGGAGCACTCTTACTTGCTTTTGGCCTGATCCACTAATAAGCGTAATTTACAATAATGTTGCAGGAAATCGTTGAGGAGCGTGAGCTGTCCTATCATTATGCGCTGCATCGCATCACTAGCCGAACCCTGTGGCAGCTCGCGGCGTGGTATTGCAACAGTTTCATACTGCAGCTGATATCGTGTGCCATATTCATACTGGTGTTAAAGGTGCGCGACAAGCAAACAGTTCGGCTAATTAAGAGTTACTTATTCTATTGATTTTTCAAGGTGGAGTGGACCGTCAATACGGCGGTGTTCAAGAAGTGTCCGTGGTCAATCTTGATGCTCTTCTTCCTGTGCTATGTGATATCCGTGTCGGCTTTTTGTCTTATGATGGCCGTCATCATAAGCACCACCAAATTGGTGGTGATAATAATACCGATATACTGGATTATAGCACCGCTGCCGTTGCTCTCGGGCCAGTCACTGGATACGTCCTTATCGAGCATCGTCCTGGCTATGACCTCCTATCTATTGTGCAATGTGACAATGTATCGCGGCCTGAAGCGAATGCTGAGCCTGGAGAATCATTTGTATACGCTGAGCAGCAAAGAGTATCTAATTTCGACGCTGGTGACCAGCGACATAACGCTGTTACACCTAATTGTATGCTTTTTGGGGCAAACCATTCTGTATCTGATATTGGCGATTCTTTTGGACCAAAACATAGTGCCTTGGGTACGTAAGTTGATCAAGTGCTTGCCGTGCCGACACCAGGCTTGGCGGACTCGACGCTGGCTCCGGCGGCGTCGCAGGCGAAAAAGAAAAATGCTCGAATTGGATCAAGATCAGGTGATGACCAAGAAGCTGCCGGCAGCCATTTCCCCAATCATCGATTATCAAAATGAAAAGATTAGCCAAACCGTGGACCTACACCCCCAGCAGACAAGTCAAATTATTCCAGGCCGGCTATCGGGTCAATCGAAAAGGCGCAACAGCGTCTCACCCCAAATATTCCCAAGTAATAAGAGCAGCGAAAGCGAATCGGGCAGCACATCCGAATCGAGCGACCCCGTAGTCCGGGCTGGGCAACATCAGAACGTATTGGATAAGCAACTGGTGGTTTGGCTGAGCAACAGCGGCATGAGGACGAGATTCGGCAGTAAGAGCTCTTACAAATTAGACGCAGGATCAAGCCAATCGTTTGACAAGCCGAAAGGCTCGATTGAAAATGTAGATGGCTACGAAAACTCCGAGGAGGAGACTGAGATCAAAGGGCGCATTGTCATCGAGTTTATCAACGTGTGGAAGAAGTTCCACAAGACCTATGTCGTGCGCAACTTCTCGCTGCAAGTATATGAGAATCAGTTGATGGTGCTACTGGGTCACAATGCAGCCGGCAAAACGACCATATTCAATATGACCTGCGGACGGACGTTGCCCAGCTATGGCAGCATACTAATCAATGGCCACAGCGTGGTCAACCATCCGGTGCGCGCCTTGCAACACGTGGGCATATCTTTGCAGAGCCTCAATATCTTCACCGAATTCACGTTCACCGAGCAGCTGACCTATATCTGTCGTCTGCGCGGCCTGACGCTGCTGCAAGCGACAAACGACATCACCGACTATTTGAATACACTGCATGCGGAGAACCTGGCCCAGTTGCCCGTTCAACAGTTGACCATCGGGCACAGGCGACTGCTCCAGGTGCTCTGCGCCTTTGCCGGACGCACGAAAATCGTGCTGCTCGACAGGCCCATGGAGGGCGTGGACGCGGAGCAGCGCCGTCACTTTTACATCTTCATCAATCGCGAGCGAATCAAGCGCACCATTTTGATAACAACCAACTATCCGCACGTGGCCAGCAATCTGGGCGATCGCATTGCCATCCTGATCAGTGGCAGGCTGTTTGCCTGCGGCCTAGAGAAGAGTCTGATGCACCAAAACAGGCATGCCTATCGCTTGGTAAGTGAGCCCAGGTGAATGATCTCTATGGTCATATCGATAGCTGTGATTGAATATGCCAAAAAGTCTAGTCGGGAAAACATAATGAAAATATCGTTTGAGCTACTATCGATTAGAAATCGATATTTATCAGTCTAATGAGACGACATTTTGCAATCTTAGAGCTGGAAGCTTGTTTTTGACAGACAAACTTAGATCTTCTTATAAGCGAAGGGGTTCCACCATCTATTTGCATATCTTCTACATTGAATTCAGGAATCTAATTATAAGATATAAACAGCTTTATTATGCGCCTACTTGACATACAAGTGCTCTCAATAATTTGGTCTGAGAGTCACTGGTTTAAGTTACAGTTTTAGATTCATTTATGTGAATATATATATATATATATATATATATTAGCTTATATTATTGTAAAACTGAAATAGTCTCAAAAATTTTTTGGTTCGACTGTTTGAAAGTCATTGTTGAAGGTGACAGTTTGAGAGCCATTAACGTACATAAATTACATGAATTTATAGCTTTTATAGAATTTATAAGTATATTTTAAAATTTTTTTGCTCGACAGTTCGAAGGCCATTGCTATAAGTAACTGTTGTAAATTCATACATATATATTTATTTAATTAATTTTTTTTATTATTAAGCTTGAAAATATTCTGAAGAATTACATTAGTTAATCTGTTTGAAGGTCACTGCTTCTGTTGACAGTTTCAGAGCCACTGACGTCGAAAATACTCTCAATAATTTTGTTTGTTTGACAGTTTTAAAGGCACTGACAATTTTAAGAGCCACCCACGCATATGCCCACCATATAGCAAATAATGCTATATTCATTATAATTATATAAATTACTTTTAGGTGTGCTATTTGGGCGTCAAATGCAACTTTCAACTGTTAATCAATTTTCTCAACCACCACGTACCCGACCTGAAGGTGCAATTGAAGATGGGCGACATAGCCATCTTCTCAGTAGAGCACGCCGAAATGAATTCGTTGTATAAATTGATCAATTTGGTGGACAGCAAGATGAATACACTGCACTTGGATAGCATTAAGCTGTTGACCACCGGCTTGGACGAGATTTTGCTGAAGGCCTTGATGCATACGTCCAAGCGGAGCACTGGACAGCTGACAAATATCTTGCCCAAGCTGGCCAATCGGATACGCATAATCGAGGAGACGCGACCGCGCACTAAGGTCGGCTGTTTCGTGGCCAACATACGTAAATGCCTCGGCCACATTCAGGTGGTGCTGAGCAAGCGTTTCCTGATCGACACGCGCTGCTGCTTGGTGCCAGTGCTTCAGATCATGCTGCCAACGTTATTCTGCATTTTGTGCCTCATCATGCCGCACTTGACCAAGAACCGCATGCGGCTGCCAACAACGACCATGACGTTGGGTATACTGAAGCGGACGACGATACTACTGAGCCAAAGAGCCAACAGGGAGCCGGTGCGAGAGGCGAGCAAACATTATCTGCACTTTGCCACTGAGGATCAGCCGATTATCGATTTGGAGCCGAGCGAAGATCCGCTCAGTTACATCAAGTGGTATACGTCAAAGAATCTGATCATAACCGATCTCAATTTCGCAATAGCAGCGATATTCCAAGATCAGGTTGTCGAGGCGCTCTACAACAACAATCTGATGCACTCGGCGCCAGTTAGCCTGAATCTGGTTATGAACGCATTAGCCGTGTGAGTTCATATATATATATGTCTCTATTTATATATATATATGTATCTGCTAATGATCGATCGATCAATGTTCCTTCGTTTTAGCGGCTTTGTGCATCCCACCGCCGAAATAGCTGTTCAAATGGAGCTAATGGCCCACTCCACGTTGCATACGTTCATATTTTCGGATAGTTTCAATGACGTGGATTGGGTCATCCCATTGACGTTGAGCTTGTGTTTCTGTTACATTTGGGCACTGCCGCTGCTAGACTTCGGGCTGGGCCACGAAACGGCCTACAATCGCTTGGAGGTAATCAGCGGCATGCGCTTCGGCACCTTATGTATTGCCTACTTCATTTACGGTATCCTGGTCATATTAATTTCGATTGTTGCATTGAACGGAATCATGTTCGCCTGCTACAGATCTCTGCCAATGGATATGTATTTCAACTGTGAGTGCCGCGCTTTGGCTAGCTTTATCAATCGATCCTCTCCATCTCCCACCGCAGTTATCTTTAACTATACCATACTGGTGTCGGGCGCTTGCATCATGTCCATCAATATCCTATTCTCGTTTTGGCTAGCAGAGCTGCGTATTGGTTACATTCTGCTCATCGCATTCTACTCGATTGGCATCGTATTCCATCTGTCCGCCAGCGAGGTTGAAATCTTCAAGGAGTACGGCGACATCGCCAAGCTGAACATGTTTCCGAACTATGCGCTCTTTAACAATCTGATGCGACTCAACTACTTCATCGAGATAACCGAGCTGTGCAAAGACGATGTGACGTACAAGACCAGCGTGTTCCTCGAGCACTGCGATAAGCAGCCAAACTGCTGCTGTAAGTATCCCCATTCCTATTCGTATTAATATATATATTCCTTTACACTTTACGCAGCAGCAGATTATCGCTTACTCACTCCACTCTCATCCCACTTCCTTATCGATTTTTATCGATATTCCAATTTGTTTATTCCCAAACCGGGAGACTGTAATGAATTCACAGATTATGTATGTTTCCAATTTAATCAAATCCAAATTCAAACTTGCGCCTTAGCCTTGGCCGCATTATTACGCTTCACAAATTTCATTGGCAAAGTGCAGCTAGAACAAAAGTTATTCAATAACTAATTTGCTAGAGTTTGTGTGAGTGTGTGTGTGTGTGTGTAAGTATTTTTGGTTGCACAAGTATGCAAGCAGCTTAGATTGATGATGTAACAACAGCTGTGCAGCTTTCAGGGTATTTCTTAGTTGGACACTTCCGTCTAGAGCACTTATACTTGTTTCATACGTAATATATGCAGACATGAGCTAGCTTTGGCGTTGGCTTAGGGTAACTCTTAGTCAAGGAAGAGATGACGGTATCCCTTATGCGGACATTCTTGCCTAACGCACCTTTACTGTTTATATATTTTGTATATGCAGTATTATGCTAGCAGTAGCCTTGGTCTAGGGTAACTCTTAGTCAAACCCTTTCGATTGTGTGTACTCATTAGGATGAGGTGAGGGTATAACTTATTCGGACACTCCCGACTAGAGTCTTAAGCTAGCACTAGCCTTGGCTTAGAGTATCTCTTAATAAAGCACTCTCGATTGTATGCCATCGCCACTATCGATAGTGTAGCCCGACAAACAAATTTATTTTAAAAAAATATAAGAAAATTGTGCTTTATTTTAACCAAAAGTTACGATTCAGAAACAAGAGAATGTTTAAATTTTCTTCTTTAAGTCGTATTCGCCTCTCCGAAATAATTTGGCCTGCCTTGCTGAATGCCCTTTCAGATGCTACGGACGTAGCGGGAACGCAGGGGTACTTGCAGAACAGGCTTTTAATAGAGACGCCCACTATCGATGGCACCATCGATAGGGGATGGGTCACTATCGATTATGGCTCGATAGTGCCCAACCATCGATAGTGCCCATTGTTTTCCACCTCTATCTCCTACTCGGGCACTCCCGACTGGACCACTCTCACTTGTACATGCAGTCATTAGCTGAAAGTACACTGAGTTCTATGCCATATGCTAATTGCCTAAGGAAATGATTCAACAACAATCAGTTGGCATCGCACAGCATGGATCGAATGAGACTATTGAGATACAAGCAGCTTAATAATACCCTCTCTCTTATAATATTTCATATTTGATCTTTAATATTCCAAATCTATTTAGTTACTAGTATTTGAAATGAAACTAAAATGACTTTTCTATTCTAGTAAAATTATAAAGAAAATGAAAATGGGACAAGTTAAACATTTGAAGACATTTTACAGTTAGAGCCCAGTTTAGCAAAGTTTCTACTCAGTCACTTCTCACTCAAGCGCAAAGCAAATAATATTTAAGAAGCATTTAAATAACTTACAATATGTTCGTATCTGTTTCAGATGAATTGAACTTAAGTGATCTGCATATGGACCTAACATTTTTTACGTTTGTATCAATAATATTAATCTGGGGATTCGTCTATATACGCTATGGTCTAATTGCGGCCAAGAGGAAACCACCCAGACGTCGTGACGATATAAAGAAAGACATCGAGTGAGCTAGAGTCGAGAAGTTTATGATTGTAATTGACAATATTATTAATATTGTGATTATTATTATTGCAGTCCAGACAGCTGCTTTGACCAAAGCGTTCTGCACTTCAGCAACAAAACTGAGTCGGACAACTCGTGGATACGTGAGAAGATACGTGTGCGCACAGTGGAGCGCCCCTTGATCCAAACGAAGGCGCTGTACGTTGAAAACCTGGCCGTGTTCTTTCGCACCCACGTGGTGCTGAAGAACATCAACATGCTGGTGGAACGGTACGTGACTGATATGTGATTCGGGTATATATATGCATGATTCGATTTGTAGTTTTGATTCGATTTAATAACAGTTACCAAATCATGTCTGTGGTGGGTGTGAATGGATCGGGTAAGACGGTGCTGGTCAAGACGATACTTGGGGCCAATCATCAGAGTGCCGGCAGCATTAGCAGCTTTGGCCATCATTCGTATCAGTACAGCGAGAATGAGAACTATAAGCTGATTGGCTACTGCGCCCAGGACAACACGATCAAAGAGGCGCTGACTGTGGTCGAGTACATTCAGGCCGTGCTGACCATACGCGGCCTGAAGCCGGCGCAAGCCTTGGAGGAGACAATCAACCTGTTGACAATATTCAATCTCTATAGCAGTCGCTACATCCTGCTGCCCCACTGCAGTCGCGGTGTGCTGAAGCGTGTCAGCTTGGCCATATCGCTGATCGGCTATGCTGGCCTCATACTGATGGACGAGCCGTTTGCCTACTTGGACTTGAGCAGCCAGATAAGCATCTACAGCCTAATTCACTCGCAGTGCTCACAGGGCCAGGCTGTGCTCTTCACCACCTCCGATACGAAGCACTGCGACGTGGCCAGCCGCGCGGCCGTGCTCAATCGCACCAATCTGTGCGTCATCGGCGATCGGAACGAGCTGCAGGTGAAGCACTTCATGGACTTCATTGTGGTCAGGGCGCGCATCAAGATGCGACGATTGCGGGCGCCATCCCTAAATGACGACGACGCCGACTTGTCCGAACTGTACAAGTTTCGCGACATACGCCAGAACAAAATGTACTTTGAATACTGTTCGATAATCGAACAGTACTTCCCGCACGCCATCGTCAAGTAAGCAAATGCCATCAGAACATCATCATCATCATTAATATCTCATTTGCTTGCCAGAAACATGAACAATCACATAGCCACCTTTTGGCTATCTAGGAACATGTACACCATGTCGCTGGTAATGGAGACGCTGCACAACAACAGCGAAATATTTTTCCCATTCAAGATCAGTGCGCCTTTTCTCAAATCGTTGTTCATCAACATTGTGGGCAAGAAGAGTCAGGACGTGCAAATACTCGAGGACGAAGATATCTAATTGTCGGGAAAATCCATTCTAGTATCGAATCAAAGAATATATATATATATATATATACATATATATATATTGAGTTATATAGAGCTTAGGGCCAATTACGTTCAAATTACTCTAACATAATCATCAGTTTCTTTGCTTTCAATTCTTTTATGTATCTTGATAAACTATTGCGGCTATCTTAAGTCTGGGCGTAGCCCAAATAAAGTACTCTTGAATTTGAATTAGTGTGTGAAGCAGAGTAGGCTAAAAGCATTTAAATTTCATTATTTCATTATTTCATATCAAATAGAATTAATCGCATACACGACACATGCCAACATTAATTTAGTCGACGCATTTGTCACACCAAAAGCTGCTGAAGGCAACAAAAATAAACGTCGGAGAAACTATCCCAACATTGGCTCAACGTGACACAACAAAAGCTGACAGACCGTAGAATAGGCGATCAAACAGGCCCCACGAAACCACGAAACCATCGAATTGCATTCAGCATAAACAATAAAACGCGGCTAAAATAATAAAACAAATATATGCATAAATAAATATATAAATAAATAAGTTCAACTAGTGGATACCCTCTGCACGGCCAACACAGCAAGTTGATTGTTCCTCGGACAACCTCTTGCCGGACTGCAAAAAATATGCATTACATCTCATATTTTAACACTGAGAAAGATCTGACTGCTTGCTGCAGTGGAGTGTTCCACAGATTTCCACAGTGGAAGCTATCGATGGCGTGGCTCAGGTAGCCAGCACCACGGAAGAGCGGGCAAGATCGAGTACTACTGCACGCTTCACAGACAGGTGCTAAGCGCTGTGGGAAGAAAGAGCAGTACAGGGGTCTATCTTAGGAGAAGACCCCTGGAATCTCAGCAACGTCGACATCCTGAGGCTGGAAGTGCCTCAATGGCTCAATGAAGACGAGCCCAATGCAGACGAGTTAGCAAAAACTCAAAGGTCAGCAAACTATCTAGGCATTAGACTAGATTGTAAACTCATTTTTTTGGAGCAGCTTTGCGTCTCTGAGTAGACTGATGGCAAATGTGGAAGGACCGAGGACCAGGAGAGCAAAGACTAACATTGGAAGCATCATGTGAAGTATGGGCAGACACCTTAGGACAGATGGGTGCAAAGAAAAGCAGGCTTAAGAAAAGCTTCGCTCGATATGAGACCTCCAGCAAAGTAGAGACTTTTCAGTGCAGTCAGCAAAGGACAGTAAACTATAGTCTATAGTCAAACAAGAGGTGTAGGAGTTGGCCATCAAAATTGATGACCAAACTAGAGCTGTGGCTAAAAGGGAAGCAGCCTAGATACAAAGGCAAAGTTGAGGAAAGGGTCCACATCTAGCTGCAGCGCTGCTGCAAAGCGTGCCCTACTCTGCAGCAAAAGATTAATAGAAGAAGGGACAAAAGTAGAACAAAGCCAGGTTACCAAATGGGGAGGCAGTTCAAGGTGTGCCCGAAGAGAAGTTTTTTAAACTGGTAAGCAGCAAATGCAGTCCGATAAGCCGGTCGAGTGATGACCTCACAGACCCAAAGGAAATCATTTCCATCACTATATTCGTCAATTACAATTACTATTAAGTCTAATTATTATTAAATCAGCATTAACCTTACTTTACTTATCACTATAAATTGCATTAGTATTGTTAATAACACTATTACTAACAGACTCTTCATCGCTGTCGTTATTACAGTTTTCCTTTGTGCTTTGCCATCGTTATTAAAATTACTATGACTAATAGAAATATTTGTCATGCTTTATAAACGAACTTGCCTCGAGCATCACATGTTTCACTCCATTGCCAGCATCGAGGGTATCTGTGGTGCGACGCTTGCCGATTGTCCGAATAGCATTTGCGCTGCGTTCTTCGACTTTTTACTTTTTATGAGCTCGCCGCTGATAGGGTCTATTTAGAAGTGAGTAAAAAATTATTCGAGTATTTGCAGCAATGCGAATGCGTTTTGTTTCTGTTTCTGTTTCTGCTTTATTTGTTGTTGTTGTCGCTTTCTGGCATTTATTAATAGCATTGAGGCCCAGAGCTGGTGCTGCCACTCGTACTACTCTGGGCTGAGAGCATGGTCCTCACCATATGCATATGCATAAAAATTATTTTCATCTGGGTGCATATTCTATGGGCACAATTAGTCTGTGCGAAAAGGTTGTGTAAACTATGCGATAGGCCCAAGAAGCTGAGGCGCGACCGTAAAGAACGAAACGACTACGAATCGATCTCGGCAGGATTATCAAATCGGAACATCTCCGTTTAACCAAAATCAGAATAAGTAGAATCAAAATGGTACGCAATGTCTTTTGGCTGGCAATACTGTTCATCAGCATACTGCTGCCATTGGGCACGCAGGAGGTGAGCCGTGACCTGTGCAAGGGCTCGGATGATGCGGCTGCCTGTGCCCAAGCGACCGAGGCGCTGGGCACGGGTCGCAGGGCAGCGCCGAGGCGAGCCAAGTTCAAATTCCATAAGATACAGCGAACGGACGACGATGATGACGACAACGATGACGATGATGCTGATGATGATGATGACGACGATGATGATGTTGTTGCTGCTAATGCTGACGATGATGATGAAGAAAATGAGAACGGAGATGATGATGATGAAGATGATAATGATAATGACAACGACAATGATAATGATAATGATAATGATGATGATAATGGCGATAATGATGACGATGACGATGACGATGACGATGATGATGATAATAACCGGTCCAAGCATGGCAAAAGAGAACGCCAACGAGCGGACAGATCATCGATTGAGCACAGAGCCGATGACGATGATGACGAGGATGCACCGTCGCTACTCAGTCGCATCTGGGACAGCTTCATGAGCGACAAGCAGGAGAAGCCGAAGGAGAAAGCGGAGTCACAGTATCCGAACATACTCAACTGGCTGCACTGGCTGATCGAGCCAAGCCCAGAAGCGGAGCAGCTCGGCAAGAAGGAGAAACAGAAAGCAGCGAAGAGTGAGATCGATTGGTTCACCTATCTGAAGCGTTGGCCCTTCAACAGCATCTTCCCAGAGCCGCCGCGCAGTGAGACGCGTCAGCGGCAACGCAGCCGCAGCAGCCAGGATGCCAGAGGCGAACAGATGCGCCAGCAGCCATCCAAGAGCAAGGAGGAGTACGTAGAGCTGCTCATCCACTCACTGCCCGCCTTCATTGGCAACGTGTCGCAGGCACGAACTGGCGAGTGCCACCAGCAGCTGGAGCTACTGCATCGCCAGCTGCGCGCCCACAAGCTATGGACACTGCAGAGTAAGAGCGCCAATCCGATTCCTAGCTCCCTCTCTCTCTCTCTCTCTTTCTGTTTCTCTTTATGCCTGGAACTTTCCTTTTGCAGTGCTTGATGCCACGGGCAAAATTGGCGCCGGCCTGCTGAGGGGCAACATCAACCAGTTCGGCGACTTTGATCAGTGCCACAAGGTGTCGACGGCCGTGAAGAGCAGCTCGAAGCAGCCGATACGAGTGCATGGCAAATATTGCCTGGCCCAGATCGAGATGCGTTCGACGGCGAGCAGCCTAAAGGAGGCGCTGCATCGGCTGCATGGACGCGGCCTGTGGCATGGACACCTGAAGAATGTACGTAGCTCTGGCACCGAATATTTTCGAAATGCCAATTTTCACTATTTTCTCTTTTGGGTCGGCAGCCGAAGCATTTTGCGCCGCGCTACAACATCGCCAATTGGGGCATTTGCCTGCCGCACGCCTGCTCCGCCCACGTGGTGCACAGCATCATCGAGACGAGCCTGCGTCCCTATAACGACACGGGCATCGAGTTCCACATCGATGTCAGGGACGAGCATTGCAGCACAAGGCAGCGCAAGAGCTTCGCTAAGCTCATGGCCAAAGATAGTTACCTGGCAACGGGCATGTGAGTTGGCTGGAATTTCAATTAAACACGCTTAAGATCCTGACACGTTTCATAGATTAGGCATTGCCGCGCTTGGCTGCACCTGCCTGCTGGCCCTCGTCTGGGAGCATTGGGATTGGATTAGCGCCAAGCTGTTGCGACTACACAGCGCCACTGGATCAGCAGCGGACGCAGCTAGCGACGAGGAGGGCAGCAGCGTCGAGGAGCTGGAGCCAGAGGAGGCTGAGGAGACGCAGGCTGAGCAGACGGAGGACTCACAGAAGCAGGAGCAAATGACGCCAGCGCTCCATTTGAGACTCTTGGGTGCCTTCTCGCCGCGGCTCACGTTCGAGCAGCTCGCAACCTTAAACGATCCGGACGTGGAGTTCCCATTGATACATCTGCTCAAGCTGCTGGCCACGCTGCTCATCTATGTGAATCTGAAGTTCATGATGGCCGGCCATTTGCCAATAACGAATCGGGATGCCTTCGTGGACGCTGTCAATGGCTACTGGAGTCTGGCCTATCGGATTCCCCTGCTCCACAGCGATTTGCTGCTACTGCTCAGTGGCTTTCTGGTTGCCTACCAGCTCTCCCACGAGATGGAGCAAACGTGCCGGCTCAGCTTTCTGCGCAACGTCAGCGCGAAGGCGTGTCGCTATGTGCCCAGCTTGCTGGCCGTTCTCGGCTTCCAGGCCTGGATACTGCCGCATCTGGGCAGCGGCCCGCTCTGGAGTCTGCTCGTCGGCGAGAATGCGCGCCTCTGCGAGGAGAACATGTGGCGCAACGCGCTCAATCTGCAAAACACTGGCGATCTAGAGGAAATGGTATTGCAGTGGCATGCAGTGGATTCGGGTCGCATGCAACTAAAGTCTCTTCATTTGCAGTGCTCGCCCACCACCGTCCAGTTGTCCTTGGAGGTGCAGCTGTACTTCCTGGGCGCACTTGTCGTTTGGCTGTACTTTACGGATCCGGAGGCTGGCTTCTTTCTGTGCGGTGCTTTTCATGCCATCTCCGTGGCCGCGCGCTATGCCCGCACGCAGCGAGACTATCTGGCGCCGTCGCTGTTCCATGGCATTGGGTGAGTCACAGCGATCCACAATCCACAATCCCAGCCAGCGTTTAACCCAGTTTACTGCTCGCGTAGCATCAGCAAGTTCTATCGCACCGCCAACCTCATATACAGCTCGCCAGTTGCCCGTGCAACCACCTATCTGCTGGGCATCGGTGCCGGGCTGCTGTTCCGCAGCGAATCCGGCTCGTTTGGCATTGGGACGCGCTACAGGCGCGTCGGCTGGACCCTTGCAATGCTGGGCATTGGCTGGTGCTTCTGGGCCGCCGCGGCGGGCATGCGCAGCAAATACGTTTACAGATCAACGGAGGCGGCTGCCTATTTGGCTTGGAGTCCGCTAATCCTGGGCCTGGGCATATGCTGGGCACTGCTGATGGCGCCACTGGACCGGAGCATGCTGGAACGCTATCCAAACGTGGCGCGTTCCGTGCTAATCCTCTCCAGAATCCAAACTCCACTGCAGCTGGCGACCTACGTGGTGGTGCTGTGGAACACGGCCAGTGTAAAGGAGCCACAACAATTTCAGGTCTCCGATTTGGTAAATACTCCACTATATAGTTCTATATAGTTGTATATTTATATATCCATTTGATATGATCTCTGCAGCTGAGCCTACAGGAGCTGCTCTGCATTGTGTGCTTCGCTCTGGTCGTCGCCTTTTTAATTGACTTTCCTGCCCAGCAAATAGGCTATTTGCTATTGGACATTATCTTTAGCGATGTGCTGCTAGCTAGCAGTAAAGATAGTTCTGCGGCAGTGGACGCAGCCGAGGCGGCCGAAGCGGACAAGCCAGACTCGCCTGAGCCTATCGAATCGATATGGTCCTCGGAATCAGAGCCGGAGGAAGAAAAGTCAAGCGACAAATAATGCTTCAATTAAGCTAATTATATCTATAGCTATATCCATATCTATATATACATATATATCTTAATATATATATATATATATATTGTTTTTTTTTCATATTAAAGTTTGTCAATTATTGATAGTCTGACTGAGCAAAACAATATCAATATCAATCCTAATAAATTCTAAAAATTACTCTTCTCTGACTCCCATTTATGCCTATGAGAACTTGTTAATGCTTAATGATCATTAGAGCAGCTCATTAGCAGCTTATCGACTAGCCTTAATAGAGACCGAAAGCTACCTGTGCCTGCTCCTGCTTCTGTTCCTGTTTAAAAGATGTAACATATATGCAACAACCTGAAGCTAATATAGTACACTTTTGATATATATGTTATATATAATAGTACAACAAAAGCTAATCACTCTTACTATAGTCACTTATCAGATATTTCAAGCTATTTTCCATTAGCTCAGAAATGGCGTACAAAGCTTAAACTTGAGTCGGAGACAGCTGAACAGATAGACTTAGTCTTATCGATACGATTCAAGCACAGATTATGTTGCAGACATATCTATTGTTGCATGTTTAACATAGTTAACACAAGCATTAAACGTACGTAGTCAATCTATATAATATTTATGAATTATATACATTTTTCAAGCAGCAAACAAATGTTCACTGAACATCTTTTATGGCATACATATTGGAATATATACATCTGACTCTTAAAGTTATTAATGCTCTTGACTTCAAATTATGATATGCATTATTTTCATAAATGTCTGGCGAGTTTCATTTACAAATAGGCATCATTCAGAGAGCAATACTTCAATAACAAATTCGGTGCAGCAGATAAACTATATTAAACGTAATGCTATTTAGTCTTTGGCATTTGGCCATGGCCCTTGAAGGCTATCAAATGTGGCGGGCTAGCCGTTTAGGCCTTCTCCTTAACCTTGCGCTGACGCACCGTCTGTACATCGGAACCCTCCGGCGTCTTGTCACTAGTCTTGTCCAGCTGCAGCTCGTCGCTGTGGGCGCCTAGTTCGGCAATTTCATACTTTTCATCCATGAAGACCAAATCGTCGTCGTCACGCATGCTGCTCGAACTGGATAGGATCACACTGCTGGCCTTCTTTTGCAGCTGATTGGTGAGGCGGGCATATCGGATTTGCAAATTGTGCAGCCATGTGGCATCCGACCAGTGATACCAGCTGAGCAGAAAGACGACCAATATAAAGAATAGATTGGCGCTAATGGCTGGAAATTGTGGAGGAGTAGATGCCAATTGAGCCATTTTCAAATAGATATTAAGCAGCTGCACTTACCCACTATGGCCGACAGAATGGGCCAGTTGAACATGATGTACCGCAGACCAGTAAAATCCGCTTCAATATGCAACGTCACCGTATAGAATTGTATCTTCTGCGATTGGATTTCGACATAAACATCTGTGATGGGATGCTGACGCTCCTCCAAATAGCGCGAGAAGATTTCAACCGGCACCTTCTGGAACTCCTCCTTCCAACCGAGCACATAGAGCGGACTCAGCGCCCAGGTGGATATCAGCCTGATCAATGGCGAGCGATAGCGCATCATGGCCGATCGACACGAATGGCCGCGCAGCATTGAATCATAGTCGCGCATCTCGGCGCAGACCATAAACATGCCCAGCTCTAGATTCTGTGGCGATTCCGGCATATCAATGTTGACAATGACCTTGTACGCTTGACCCACCATCAGCAGTTGTTGCTTCTTGGTCAGTGAGACGTGGGCATGGGGAAAGGTGCAGGGCGTGCTCGTCTCCAGGCAGGTTCTGCAATATGAATCACTCTATCATATACAAACTCATTACAAAGAAAGAGAGCGAGAGAGAGAAAGAGAGAGAGAGATACCCACTTGAACTGCATGTGCACGGGCCGCGTATGCGAGATGGGTGGCATGTAGACATAGTAGAAGGCCGCATAGAAGAAGACGGCCAGCCAGATGATCAGCACGACGGCAAAGGCGATGAGGCCCAAGCGTAGCACCAGCTCCCGTATGGTGTCCACCTTTTCATCGGCCTTGCTGCGAAAGCGATCGTACACATTGAGCGTTAGATTGAGCGCCGGTCGAACTAGGAAGCGACGGCCCAGGCCAAGCGGATCAAAGCAAAATATGATGAAGCGCAGCAGAAAATTCATGGCGGCGATCTTTGCTCTGACTGCGTATGTTATCGAACTGTTGCTATTAAATAGCGTAGCACATACTACAGAATATAATTATTTGATTGCTTATCGGCGATAATGGCTATTGCCGGATTTGCATGGTCTGCGGTTCAAACTTTGAACGGACGGCAGCAGCGACGAACATTATCAGTTGTTAACAACTTGCAATCGACTAAGAGCTGCCCGATGAATCATTCACGTTCGTATATCTACAGAAATACTGGTTTTGTAGTTGAACTAGTTCCAAAGTGAGCCATATAAACAATTGTTATTAACGCAAGCATTCCTAAAGCAGCAAATAAATAATAAGCGAATTTAAATAATTAGCTTAGTAACAAAATTATATTGTGGTTTTAATTTATAAAAAACAATAATTAAGTTCACTCATCAATTTTTTTTAGTTCGCGGCTTCTTTTGACTATCGAAAGCAGTTAAAGGCTAATGCAATCTACCAACTTATCGATATATCGATATATTAACATTAAGGGCTTAGATTAGTGTGTAACATGACATCGTTTTAATAATATACAATGTAAAAACATAAGCAAAATAAATAAATAAAAAAAAAAGAAGCGAAGCGAACAATCATGTGTTCAACAATACAATAAAAGCAAATATGTCTGTGTAATAAGTGAGCAATCGTCAGCCAAACAACGAACAATGAGTAATTATAGATACCATGGCCATGGCAGCGGCGGCGGCGGCGGCGGTGGGGGTGGAGGCAACGGCGGCTACTATGGCATTGAGGTGCGCGACATGCATCAGCGTATCTCCTATCCGCATCATTTTACGTTCGTTAGCTCCTGCGTTAAGTACATGATATTTATATTGAACTTCATGTTCTGGCTGTTTGGCGGCCTGCTCTTGGGCATTGGCGTCTACGCATTCAAGATTAAATGGGAGGAGTCGAACGGTTGGGTGAAGCTGGAGAACATTTACGATGTCATACTGAACATATCCCTGGTGATGATCATCACCGGCATTGTCATATTTGTAGTCAGCTTTGCCGGCTGCCTGGGTGCACTGAGAGAAAATACTTGTCTACTCAAATTCTATTCGCTGTGCCTGCTGATATTCTTCCTTATGGAAATGGCCATAGGTGAGTCAATGGTTCAATATATATATATATATACTATCGGTTTTCTTTGTTTATATGTAGCGATCATTTGCTTCGTGTTTCCACAAAACATGAACTCCTTTCTCGAGGATCAGTTTACGGACAAGATCATTCACTCGTATCGCGACGATCCGGATCTGCAGAATTTCATTGATTTCGCCCAGAAGGAGTTTCAGTGCTGCGGCTTGAGCAATGCCGGCTACCAGGACTGGAGCAAAAATGAGTACTTCAACTGCTCCTCGCCCTCAGTGGAGAAATGCGGCGTGCCCTACAGCTGTTGCATCAATGCGACGGACATCAGCACGGGCTTAGTCAACATCATGTGTGGCTATGGCGTCCAGGAGCATTCAGTGGCGGCGGCCAGCAAACTGATATGGACCAGCGGCTGCATTGAGGTCGTACGCGTCTGGGCCGAGCGGAATCTGTATACCATTGCAGGCATTGCATTGGGCGTGGCACTTGTTCAATTGCTGGTAATTTACTTGGCCAAGACGCTGGAGGGACAAATCGAATTGCAAAAATCGCGCTGGGCAGCATAAGGCCGAGGATCTATCTATCTATACCCACTTAGGCAGCATTAGGACTCGCATCTTTCTATACCCACTTAGTCATAGTTGGCCAATCTAGCATGGATCAGCTATTTCAAGATTGATTAGACTAATATTCTGATATATACATATTTATAGCACGTAGCGCAGACACCTTTTTGTCTACGTCTTTCGAGTATTTATAAGACAACAAATCATATTTATATGTGAGATTGTAAATGTATACAAAAAAATGTAGCTCATTAGTTTTATGACTGTCTTTTAGTTGTCGAATTTCGTAAAAGTCTGCAATTGGTTGGAATCAAAGGACCAATCTAGTTTTAGTATTACCATCTACGACAATATATATATAGGAATATACTTATATATATATATATATTGTAAGAGAATCAAGTCAACATAACAAAACTATTTTGTATGTGCACATGAGATTGCATTTTGTTAGACTTAAGCAGCTTAACCTCGGAGAACCGAGGTTTTACTGCCCTTGTAGAGGTACAGCAAATGTGTGTCAAAGTCGATACGCCCTTCTCGAAGAACAGAATAGTTCTTTAACAACAAACACCCCTAGGACTCAATGCTTTTCAATGTTTATCTCATAACTCTAAAGCTTATTTTAATGTCTCCTCTTAAGCGATACAATTCTCTGCAAGGGCATACAAATATTTTATATTGTACCACATATTTATAAGCTACAATCTAAATAAAGGTAGATTTTTTATATAAATTGAAGATATTTTTATTTACTCATTTATTTGTTCTCCAGCTAACTTCCAGATTTTCCTAAAGCGTTTTTCTTCACTAAATTTGTTTTTTTTTTATTGAATTTTAACTCTAGGAATCATCGTAAATTCAATTAATAGTTATATAAAACAGATCTTTAATCAGCATGAGTATTCATATATCGACTTCTGCAATGCTTCATCTTCTACATCTCTCCCATACCATCATCAAGAAGTACTTTCCACGTGAATTGGAACTTTTTCTCGCAAATTTATTTGAAGTATTCAAAAAAACACAAGAAAATAAAGAATAAAAAGAATAGAAGAAATTTGTTGATGAAACAAAAATAAATATTGCGAACAGATATTAGAACAGTTGTAGGTGACTTAACGAGTTTTGTTCTATTTACAGCATCCACTCAACGCTTTAAAAGCTGCGCGGCTGCGAGCCAAAGCCGAGGCCGACGCCCCGCATCGTGTGGGTGGCGGCACGTGCCACCTCGTACTGCTGCTCCATGTTGGAGAACATGCGTTGACGCAGCTGCACGTCGGCTGGCACAGATGCCCCACCATTGCTGCTGCTGCTGCTATTGCTGCATGTTGGGTCAGTCGTTGCATCCGCATTGGCTGTGGCGCTTACGTTGTTGCCATTGTTTTGGTTGTTGTTGTTGCTGCTGCTGTTGTTGTTGCTGTTGATGTTGCTGCTATTGTTGTTGATGTTGGTGGTGGCGCCGCTGCTGCTGTTGCTGTTGCAGCTGGGATTTATATTGTTGTTGGCATTCTTGATGCCCATGAGCCGCATAAACTTGGATGCCACCTTGCCATCCGAGTCTTGAGAGAAATGCGCATTGCCCCACTTGTTGGCCGAATCCTCGTTCTTCTTGGAGCCCCACAGCAGCTTCCGCTTCTGCTGCTGCTCGGCATAGCGATTGGCATTGATGATGCCTGGATTATAGTACTTGGGCAGCTGCACAGCTGCCGGCTGCGCTTCGACTAGTGCGCTGGGCGGCGTATTCAGCTCCAGCGACATTAACGATGGTATTTTGGGCGCATAGTTGGGCGTGGGCAGGAGACCGCCGCCGGGAGCACCGCCCGCAGCAGACATTGTGGCAGTCACTGCAGCTGCCGCTGCTGCTGCCACTGCTGCCGAGCCTCCAGCTGCGAATGGCATGACATGAGTCGGCGGCTTGCCGAGCAGCCCAGACGAAGGATAGGCGGCCTTGATTAGCGGCTCGCTAGACTTTCGAGCCGGCGGCGATCTGGAACGGCTGCTAGAATCATGCGAGGTACGTCTGCGATATTTGCGTGTAGCCTGCGACGTCCCATGGCGCCGGCGACTGCTGGCCGATTCAATAGGCGTGCGTGTGCGGGAGCTAGATCTCGAACGTGAGCGAGATCGACGACGACTGCGTTCGTCGTAGGAGCGACGCTGTTGCTGCTGCTGCTGTGACTGAGATTTGTACGTCAAGGATGTGGAGGATGATGAGTTGTAGTTGCGCGAGTTGTCGCTATAGCGCGACTCTTTGCCCTGATGCCGTGAGCCAGTCCTATCTCGTTCTCTGTCCCGGCCGCTGCCACTGCCATGTCGGCGCTCCTCACGCTCGCGTTCGCGCTCGCGCTTATAGTCGCTCTCCTTGGTGCTTTCTTTGGTGCGATGATGACGCTCGCTCTGCGAACGAAATGCGAAACGTGAAATGTTATTTAAAAATGTTATACCAATGCGAGAACAGAGCGAGACAGTCGACTCTCATCGTCTCATGGATTGAAAAGAGATAAGTATAGAGTGGGCAATTCAACGTTTGCGAGTTCAGTCATTCAGCAATTGCTGAACCAAGTGTAAACTATCAAATGAATGAGTTCCGAAGTTCGAGGAAGAATTGCTTTGCTGGACTCTTACCTTGCTGTATTCCTTGTCACGCTCCTTGTCACGCTCCTTGTCGCGCTCCTTGTCGCGCTCCTTGTCCCTGCTGCGCTCCGTGTCGCGCTGTCTGCCACGCGCATCCTGCAACGAAAAGACGCAAGCGGCAGATATTCAAGTTAATGCGAGCACATTCAGTATTAGCTAATCAAGTTTTAAGTTTTAAATGAAATTTTTTTTTATAACAGAACAGAATGAAATGAAGAGTTAAAAGAAAATTGGTTAATAAGTCGCTGTTGCTGTTAACGAGTAACCGAAATAAGATTTTGTTGCATCTGCTCCTGATCTTGATCGTGGAGTGTGGACTGTGGACGGTGGATTGCGGATTGCGAAGAGCCTGCAAAAGAATTTGTTTCGAATTTCTTGCTCCGCCGCCGATTCGCAGTGTGTTGATTAAATGCTAAGTATTTGAATTTGAATTTGTTTTTTTTTCTTTTTGTTATTATTGATTGTTGCAATACTCACATTGGATGCGTCTCGATCTTCTTTCGCTCTTGGTCGCAAACCTTGCGGTCAGAGTGTGTGTTCAAGGAGTTAAAGGAGTGGGACACAAACCCTGTTGGGCGCGTTGGAACAACTCTAATAACTCTAAAACAGTCACGATCACGGTTTATCGATTGCCGATTATCGATGATCGGCTATCGGTTATCGTTTATCGTTGATCGTATTAACGGTCGAACAGTTCGTTTACAGTTATTAGTTCAACTAATGCAGGGTGTTTTTTGTTTTGTTTTTATTTTAGCTATGTTCAAGTCCAGGTCCTGGTCGTGACTATTATTTTTTGTTTCTTTAATTGTTTTTTTTTCATTTTTGTTTTTTTTTTTTTACATAATAACAATAATAAAATGGTATATTTTAGTCATATATAAATATAAAAGTTTGCATAAATGGTTTATCTTAAATATGTAATATTAAACAAAATATGAATATAAATTAGAATTGGAAATGATATATATAGATACTACTAGAGCTGTTACAACAACCTTGACTCCAACACCAATCAAAAACTATCACACACACACACATATAGACATATATAGGAGACAGGACTGATTGGGGGAAGCGGACAAATGAAATTAGACATCAGACAAGGTGGGAAACTTGAAAGTGGGCAATAAACCATAAGTCAGAGGCTCTTGGCTAACAATATTATACATAAAGAAGGTTTAAATACATAAAAAGAAAGTACAATTGAGGCATTTGAAAGTTGAAACAAATTAACTAAGAACTACGTGTCTCACATAAATACTTAAGACTATGTTTCATGCTCAATCTATTGTTTGCAGCGATATTTCATGGTCAAATTTGGCTGTTGAAGTGGTAATCAGTTCTCAAGTCTCTCTCGAAGTTGGCTAAATGATATTGACGAGTCAGATCAGTCTGAAGAGATTGCCACAAGCATTACAGCCAGCCAAGCCTAAGCCTCATCGAAGTATATATATAGTATATATAAAAATATATATTTATTTTTTTATTTTTATATAGAATAGGTTTTTTGACCTTTCTACAATTTTGAAATAAATATAAATATTTAAGAGAGTCGAGAGTAATCAGAACTCCAGCAGAGAATCTTCAAGGCTTGATCATAGTAAGATTCGACAGCTTTGTTGATGAAGCCTAAGAACTAAGAGACCGAGCACATATTGAGTGGGATTTCATCTAATATAACAGATTTTTTCCATGCTTTTGGCATATGTCTTAAATAGTTAGTGATGTCATTTGACAGGCAATTCCTACGCTTTGGCTTTGTCTTGATTTGTAGCTTAAATCAAATTGTGTGGTAGTTAGTTCTGAATGGTTGCCTCAAGGCATCTATCACTGAACTTGACTTTTCCAATAGGAAAATTGATGGCAACAAGCAGATGCAACTAATTTGTTGCCAATTCCATAAGTTTCTATTAACTACATTTACATCTTAAATATTTATGTGAGGCATATTTAGCTAATTATTTCTATATGGCAATAAAAAGAAAAGTTTACCTCGACGTTGTTTTTGCTGTTGTTATGGCGACTGCTGCGGCTTCTGTGATGATGATGACGATGATGATGATGGCTATGTCGTCCGCTGGCAGCCACTTGATGATCTTTAACCGTCTTCGAGGTTGCTGTTGTTGTTGGCGACAACGTTGCCATATTTTTCTTCGATTTGTCTTTGCTGTCGTCGGCGTCGACGCTGCTGTCGCTGCCGCTTGCGCTATGACTGCTCGAACGGCGACGCTGGCGTCGCAACTGGCGCTCTTTGCTTTTGTTCTTAGACTTGTGTGGCTTTACAGCAGCCAATACAGATGATGACGATGATGTTGTAATAGCTGCTGCTGCTGTTGTTGGTGCTGTTGTTGTTACCTCCATTGATGATGCAGAAGTTACAGCTGCAGCTGATGCATTTGCGGGTGGTGAGCTGCGCTTTCGGCTAGCAGCTGCTGATGGCTGTGCAGATGGTAGTGGTGGTGGTGGTGCCTAGAGGAATGGTTCAACTATTCAGAAACAGCAAATTCGCATTATTTAACTAAAGCACTAGGCACAACTACAATAAAAGAGACAGATTGGGGGTGGTGGAGCAGGACGGGAAGGAGTCTTGATTTGGTTTTAGTTTGTGTTGTGGATTGCCCGCCATACGTATGTACATATTTCAACACAGTTTTCGGCTTATATTATATATATAGATATGGATAGAACATACACACACATACATACATGCACACACACTCACGCACATATGCATAGAGCCATGCACGCCACGGCAAAATGTATACACAAAAATTCTCTGACATTTGACTTTTTTTCCCAAAATTTTGTATGATGTATTTACCCTTATCTCGTAGCCGGAATCCTCCTCGTGTTCATCCTCGCTGCTGTAATTCACCAGCGCCTCCATTTTGCCAAATTGTTTTAATTAAATTCAGCCCTCGGAGTGTTTTACAAACTTGAATATTAAAATCAATAAATCTATTCCGTTGCTGTTGCAATCTTTTCTTTTTTTTCTGACAGACAGCCTGTCGATACACTCTAATGACAATCGATTGCAAATTATCGGTGTGTGTTAAGTGTGTATGTTTGTATTATATCGATATATCCATGTAATTGGATTGATGTTGCGGCCAATTTTCCAATATTATAAGTTAATTATATATTAGTAAATTTTATAAAAGGTCTGGTCTTTTCATATTTTATTATAAAAAAATAGAGCTCGTAGGGATTTCAGTCTATTTCAATATCAGTATAACGAAGTTTGACAAGGGCTGCAACATAAAGTGTGCTGTTACTCTTATGCTTGCCAGCTGTTGTGGCATTTGTGTTACTGCAGCCCTGCATTAGGCGCGCAAATTTAAAAAGCATGCTAAGCGTTTTCTTTTAACCACTTAGTAAAACAGAATTTGTTGTTTTCATGATATAAGGTGCTCTTATGTCACCTGTCCAATTACAATAGTTCTATTTGTCTTACAAGCAGACATGATATTGATTTGTAGGTAATGGCTCTAAAACTGTAATGAGATAAGTTCCGTAAGGTTGTGGGGCTTTGTTATTGTTGTTTATTTATTTGTTTTTCATTTTTTTTACAATTTTGTTTACGCATGATTTTTTTGGCTAACGTGCCGGCTTCAACGTCGCCGAAGTTACAAATTACCCTTATTTTCGGTAAGAGATAAAGCGAAACGTAATTTCACCTAAAAATAGCCATAAATTTACAAAAGTGCTGCCGAAGGGCCAGCGAAACGTCGAATAGTTGTTTACCACTTAGCACTTGACCAATGCATGGAAGGGGTAATCGACACACATGGTACAGTGAATGCTCTAAATAATGAATAATTAAAAGTTGAGTTGAAGCATAAATTATTATATTTTATATTTAATATACTTTTGCTAGAAAATATAACGTAATATTTCTTTTATTGCTAAATACTTGAAATGTATGTTATAAACTGTTACAAAATATAGAGTTCATCTCTTAATACATGCACTGTAGGAAGCAAACATCGCTGTCTGTCAGGGCTGCCATGATGCGCCCTTCTGGTGTGGATTACAGCTAAAGTAATACCACTAACACACTTACATGAGTATACACAAAGAATGAAAGAGAGAGAGAGAGAGAGAGAGAGAGATGTATATACGACAGTACGTTTGTATGTATTTTTGTGCATCGCTTTTTGGTGTTGTTTATGTATTCAAAATGTTTTGATTTCTCTTGCTTTGTGTGTGATGTTGTTGCTTTGCAAGGCCAATTGAGCTTTGCATAACTATAACTGTTAACCGATCAATTTTAAGTTCTATTAATTCATTAGCTAATTATTCAAAATGTATTTTGCTTAAAGCGTGGACTTGGATCGCCACAAAAAAGCAAATCTTGAACTTTAGCAACATAAAACGAACGGCAAAATACACCCGCAAACAAAATGAAAAAATAAAAATAAAAAAAAAAAACGGATACAAATAAATTAAAAACTGTTTACCAGTTTGGTTTCTTATTTACCCAGTTCATCGAAGCTATTTCCAAATCTGTTTGTGACTTTTTTCGGCGAGGGTCGTTAAATGAGTTCGCAAATGCTATATATGCTTAGAATATATATATGTAGATATTAATTATATAAAAAAGAACTGTAAATTCGCACAGTTGTAGCTGAACGGAAGCTGCTCAACATAGGTGAATATTAAAAAATAAACAATTCCATTTTTTTTCACACGTCTTTAATAGCCAAAAGCTGTCTGGTACAATTGAGAACTTTCCACACCACGTGCTTAGCTGAGTGACAAGAACTTGTGAAACGACCCTCGTTAATTGTGTGTTTACTTTCCGGCCTAATCTTTACATATAAAGCGCCCGCACTCTCAAATTAATGATGGACGAAAGGTCCGTTGCCGTTGTTTTTGTTTTTATTTTTGTTATTTTTTATCAATTGTTACAACAATAAACAAAAATAATAAGTGAAAAATAGCACAAGCAGGTCGCTGATAAGGCGTTGGATTTTGGCTGTCCATGAATTACTGTAAATATATTTTCAAGTAAATGCAAGCACACACATACATACGTACACACACACAGGGTCATATGTTTCTATGTATATGTGCACATTAATGGCAACATTTAAGTGCATTTGCTGTCGATTTGAACCTACGACAACAAAAAGGATACGTTGCATGCCGCACGTAGACGTTGTGGAACTGTGGCAAAGCCACCATACACAGGCACACACACAAACGCACACAGAGAGAAATACACGCAAGCATACACGCATTCCCATGCAGTCACGCACACACACTCAACACACTTAATTTTGTGTCATTTTATTCTCAAGTCAGCTGTAAGGCAGCATTACGAAAAAACCATCTACATATATCCCCCGCTTTGGCAGCCTCTCATGCTTGCCGATAACAGTGCTGACGTGCCAAAATCCGCATACCAAAAACCGCAGCACTCTCCTATGTTGCATGGAAATGATCGCTCAATGCGAATGCAGAGCGCAGTATCAATGAAATTGAAAATACCAGTATCAAAGCTGCTCGTCTGTGACTGTTGTTGTTGTGAAGCCGGCAGACGACAATGAGGCCCAACACGTACGCCAAAAGTTAAATGGCGTTGCGGAAATCTCGAACAGACGAAAAAGAGAACCTTGGCAAACGCGCCAAACGCTTAAGCAGCGCAAAAAAACAACAACAGATGTTGAGTGAAAAGACAGAACGAAAACAGAAACTGAACTTCTGAAGAGTATACAAATACATAGGCATATATGCATGTATGTGTGTATATGTGTTCAAGTTCTCGCCACGCTTCAACGACTAAAAAGCGATTACATTTACAATTACAATTACACATGTCGCGTGTATGCTCAGAAACATACATACATAAATACAAACTTTAAATGTGACTACATATACTTACATAAACATATATAATTATGTTCACACAATACTTTGCCATTTAATAAGCCGGTCGCAGATCAACATATGAGACACATATACATACATGCATTCATGTATAAATAGTCAGTTTAGCTATCTACATAAATATGCAAATGTGTATATGAAAACACACATACTTCTTACACCAAAGCCCGCCATCTTTTATTTTCATCTGCTGTTACTTAACATGCAGATGTGGTTTGTAATTACGCATTTTTTTTTTTTTTTTGGCAATTCCAGACTTACGCCTGTGACGTAAAAGCATGTATGCCGATCACGAAAATGAATACATTTAAATTTACCATTTGTTCAGAGCGTTGTACTCAAATGATATAAATCTTAGCGACTGGTAATGAAAGGAAAACGTATCTATAAAACATTAGATGAACTTTTACAGTGTAATCGAATATTCTCAGCATAAAAGACAAGGTAAACAACGACGTGTGCCCGGTCGGTGAGATCACTGAAAGTGTAATATAATTAAGCGTTCACACCTACATAATAGTCACACTTACAAATTGCAAGGTAACTAAAGCATTCTCCTTAACCTGTTGTCACTTCATGTAAATTGCTTGCATTCGCCGGCGCTAAAAACGTTACGTGACGATTTGGAAGTCAGCCGATGCCGATGCGCGCGTTGTTCTTGTACACGTTCACATGCAGACACACATACAAACATAGCAGAGAAAAACACTAATACGTTTAATGAAGACAAAGTGCATTGCACTCCCGCCAAACAACTAGAAGACATACATAAATGGCGCTGCTTGGGACTGTTTGCAGTCTAAGGCAACTTGTAACTTGTTGCACATTTGCTTTTTGGCAATGTATGTGTCCCATATACATACACATACATACATACATACAAATATGGATATCAGCTGATGTCCACAGCTGATAATTTTTGTGAGCTTGTCTCCTATTTCTTCCTTTTATCTTCTGCTTCTCTTGTTTACTGTTTTGTTTTTTTTTTTTGCGCTGTGCAGGATCGTTGGAAAATGGAATGAGTTCAAAGCGCGTACTATATTTGAACAAGACCAATTATATAATACATGTATACATACACATATCTGTTCACATACATAGTGTGTGTGGTAAATAATCACGAATGTGTTTGTGAGGCAATGAAGTAGAAGTAGAACAAAAACAGAAAACTCGCTCGACCATTGGGTCGCTGGCGCTTACATATGTGTGTACACACACACATAAATGTGATTGTGTGTGTATATATGTGTATCTGTCTGTCTGGCCCGTTCGCTCAACAAACAGTCTGTCACACCGACCTCAATATGTAAGTTTTCGTTTACTTTATCAATAAGCATACAAACTACCGTAAATTTACGTGCATGCGACCATACATACATATGGACAAAAACGCATGCATTAGTTAAATTTCTCTTTATTCGATTGCCTAAAGTATACAAACATACATTTGTAATATAGTTAAACATAAGATGTGTAACGGTTTGAAAGTCACTGACCGGCTTGTAACATCTGTTGACGTTGTTTACAATATTACTACTGGCTTAAATGTGCGTTTGTATGTGTGTTATTTTTCTGGTAACATCGCTGCTGCCCTTCTATGCTCATACTCCCAATTTTACATGCACGCAAACACTAGCGTACATTGCTCTTACACACAAGCACACATACACTCAAAGCCGCCTCTGGTACAGCGTCGCCGTTGCCGTCGCCGTTGTTTTCATTTCTTTTCGCCGCAACAGTCGCTGTCAAAACGAATTTGAACGCCCCAGCGAACGGTCGTGTTGAACGGAAAGAAATCGGAGAAGTTCGGAAAAAGAAGAAGACGAATAAGAAGTTGGAGAGCAGAAAAGTGTAATACGCAAAAGCAAACAAAAGTGCAACTTTTTTTAAAACATTTTTGAAAGACTGTGTGTGTCTGTGACTTTGAAACCGGTTGTTAAATGCGCGCTGCAACTGCAACAATCAACTTTAAAACAACAGCAACAATACTCGCAGCAAAGCAACGCCGTCAGCTTGCACATTTTTTTTCGCTTGCCTGATACAGGGACAACAAAACCAATAACAAGAGCAAGAAAGATAAAAAGAGTTTAGCTGCTCAATTTTACCGTTAAGTTGGGATCGATATCGAAATACCAGCAAAAACAACAACAACAACAATAAACATGGCCCTCTCCATTGTAAGCCGCAGTCTATTGCGTACTTCGAGAGAAATCCTGGAACGCAATATGGCCGCAACGGTGGGCGCACTGCAGCAGCAGCAGCAGCACCAGCCCCTTTCCACCTTTTCAACAAGCGATTGCAACAACAATGTAAGCGTTTGTATACGTCTCTGTGTGTGTGTATTAGTTAAATTAATTTATGAAAAGAGCGGATGAGCAAGCGAGGAGGGAAAGGGGCATCTGTTACAGTTACAAGAAAATGAGGCCACCATGTGTGCGACAGAGATAGCATAGAAAGTTGGTTTTCAAAAACAATTTGTAAGCGTGGCACAGGCAAGAAGAAGAGAATACCAGGCATTACTTATTACTTAATTTTTTTTAGATATATAGATCACTATATAGACATGTGTACATAAAGTCATAGTTCTGCGTCAATAGTTTAATAACACTATTCCTCCCTTTACTACTGCTATAGCAGCAATCAATACTGCCAAAGACGCATATCTTTCAATGCACAAACAACAACAACAACAGAAACTACAATTCGCCGCTGAGTGAAGGCAACTTTCAAACCATCCCCAAAAAAAGAAATAGAAAAATAAAAATGGGGCGACTCGGCGAACTGCGCAAATTCTGCCAACAAAAGCATGCGCAAAGCGCCAAATAACAATAACAAAAAAAAAAATAAACAGCAAACGGCTGCTGATTTATGTTTACCTGGCGAAACGGAAATCGTCAGCTAAGCCTAAGCCTACCAATGGCTTGCGTTGCGGCGATAGTTGTGTTTAGCCGCGCCACAAACCCATTTCTTCCTCTTATTTGCAGACTGTTCTAGCAAATGCATGCACCAGTTGTGCGCTGCTAGCTTCATTCTCTACATTTTCGCACTGTTGTTGGCTTTTGATGTGCGCTTTGTGCTACTTTTCGGCATAAATTAAATGCTATATGTGAACCTGCTTTGTGTTTTGGCACACGCTTAACTATATTTAGATGGGTTTGTATGTGTAAGGTTAGTTAGGAAGAGGCTTATGATCAGCATTTGTTAACTAATTCATACGATATTCCAAATTCAACTATTGTTTTTTAAGATTAATGATGTCATCATAATTATCATATCGATACCAGCTACAGTATCCATTATCAACAAACTTTTGAGCTCCTCGTAGTTGTTGACAACTTTTGTTGCTTGTAATTAAAAACAAAAGAGCAGAAGAGAAAGAAAATCAAAATAGAAACGTTGCATACAGTTATCAACAAATTGTCAACATGCCATAGCAGATTTGAAAACTCATTAATATGTTCATGCACAGACACATGCACACAAAAGATTCAAGATGTTGTAATCAGTCATGTACACATATATGTGTATATACGTGTGCCTGTGTGTGTTTGTTGTCTGAACAGTTGATCTGTAGTCGTCTTGCATGCTCCAGCTCCTAAAGCCAATACGCACAAGGTCAAGGGGAGACAAAATCATAGACCCATTAATAGTTGGACATGCACTGTGGTTGTATGCGTTTGCGCCACGTGGAGACTTGAGCCAGCGGTTACTTTTAAAAGTTGACAACTGTTTAAGGGTCTCAGGGTCGCTGTTAAGCTGCTGTGGAAACCGGTCCACAAGAATCTAGAACTGACCTTAACAAAACAAAAACAAAACAAAACTATAACAATAACAACACAATGCGTGCACATCGCATATAATTAAGAGCGTATTATTTGTTTATAAGTGTACATATAAGCTGAAGGGCGTGACGCAGCGTGAGCGCCAAAAATTGTGAAACAGTTCGCTGTTAATGCAACAGTAAACAACATTAACAGAGTTGATTTATGTGGCTGCTTTGTTGTTTTTTCCAAACAGTGAATTCGAAATGGAGTAGGCAAGCAGTGCGTTGGTGTTGCACAAAACAACAAGCAGTTGTATTGGACCATGACTTCCAAACTGTAACAATAAAAACTAATGATTTTGTATTTTAATGGCTTTTGCAGCGGCTGGTGCCAGCTTCAGCACATGGTGCATGGAGCCTTGTCTACCGTCCGGCATCTGCCCTGCAGAATGTACGCCAATATTCAAAGAAAACTGCTGGCGCAGCCACTATGCGTCGTCAAGACAGTGATTCGGATTCGGATTCGGATGACGAGTTCGAACGACGTCGCAGAAATGCCAATGTGAAGCATAGCGAACGGGTAAGCAAGCCACGTGGCGAAAACTAGTAAACTCAATGTTTGCGTGTGTGTGTATATGTGTATGCGTGAGGTTGGGTGTAAAACATGTTTTGAAAGATGGAATTGGCTTTGGCTCAATGTCGAATTTTGAACTCGCGACGTCTGCGCCGCCGTCGTCGGTGACGCAGGCGCAGACATGAAAGCAGTGCATGGTTGTTGTCTTGGCTGTTGCTTAACTTTAACAGTGTATGTTTGAATATAAGCAGTGCACGCAAGCAGTTAACAGCTTACAGTTATATTTGAAATTTAAGTTTAAATTCAATTTAAAATTAATTTTTTTTTTCGATTTTTTGTTTTTGTTTTAATCTTAGGGCGACTCTGCGTTCTGGCGCCGCAAAATGCGCACCTTGCATCGCATCATGGATGTTAACCATGACGGTGTCATCTCGTATGATGACTTCAAGCTGTTGGCGAAACGGTTCAGCGATTTGGGCCATTTGTCAGACGAGGTGGCCGAGGAATTCAACGAGGTGATCAAGCAAACCTGGGAGGAGCAATTCGGAGAGATAACCCCATATAATCTTGTGACTGCTGAGCAGTTCTTAACCGATTTGCATCATCGACTGAACGACAAGAAAATGGCTAAGCGCATTGGACGCTTCTTGCCCTATTTGTTTAAGGTAAAAGTTAATAGAATTTGTGCCATAATTTGCTAAATGCTTAATTCATTTTCATCGAATTGACTGTTCCAGGCTGTTGACTTCGATCACACTGGCCACTTGGATCTCGAACAATATAAGCTCTTCTTCCGCTGTCTGGGACTATCTGAAGAGGATGCTGCCATTTCATTCGCTGTGATAGACAAGAATGGCGATGGCCAGGTGTCGCTCAAGGAGTTTGTACATTTGGGTCGCCAATACTTTTTAACCGAAGATGATACCAAAATATCGAAAATGTTCTGGGGCCCGCTAATTGCTGATCATTGACGCGTTGCAGTCACTGCTGTAGATCAACATTATGTTCGCGATGCAAACAACCAACACAAGCCAATGCTGCCAACAACGACAACAACAACGATTCCAACACGCGCGCAGAAGGCGTGCGGCAGTTGGCCTTATCTACAGCATGTGGCGCTGCATAAATCGGGACCATTCACAAGGCAAACGACAAGCGACATTAACAACAACAACACGAACATTAACAACAACATCACCAGCATCAACTGCAACAGCAACACCCACGCCAACACCAACACAAACACCATCAACTTGATCACAATTAGAAACATGAGCATTTACGATTATTTACGCCAACATTTTAATGCGGCCGGGAAACGCAATCGTCGCTACTCGACAGACAGCGACGAGGATGTGCCTCCGCCCTCGCCCAAGGTGCGCAAACACAATCATAGCAATCACAACAATCACAACAACAATAACAATCAACAAAGAAATGGCAACCAGGAGAGGGAGCAGCACGGCAAGCACGGCCCTAATTCTAATATGCATAGTTATGATATAAGATTTTTTTTCTATATTAATTCGCTTATACTATTCACAATGTCCTGCCGTCAATACGAGGGCGAGGATCTAAAGCATTTTATTGTTAAGCACATACGAGAGTTCGATCGGCTACGCCGCAAGGCGCGCAAGCGACGCAAGCGTAAAATTAAGCCAACAACTTCGTTGCCATTGTAAAAGCAAACCGAAGTCGAAAGCGAATGTTTTAGACTATACAATGTAATACAAATGATATATATACAGGTGATCCTGATAAAAATAAAGAATACACACTAAAATCCTAACAGTCCGTCTAATGCAATCATATTTTAAATTTGAATGTATAAATATAAATACTACTTAAAGCTAAGAAATTTATTAACAGGATATTTCTGTATATAAGAAGGTGAAGGTAGACCAAGTTAGCAACAAATTAATACAATCAGGCTGAAGAGCTGGCTAATTTGACTAATTAAGAAAATCCATAAAGTTAATATCAGAATATGTTTAACAGAGAGTTGACAAGTTCAAATTTGACATGAGCATAAATCTCAACATGAACTTGGATGAGCGTTACAAAATGAACATCTCAAAAGTCTGTAATGAATTTAATAAATTTGACATGAGGATAATTTCATAATTAGTTCATTAGTTAGTTGAGGATAATTTTTATGAGTTACAAATCTCTTGGATTGCCATCACATAAGGATTTATATATAGAAATACGTATGCTTTAAAGAGAGTGCTCGACTAGTAGATACCCTAACCGAATGCTTTGTGATTTTGTTGATTTTTGTAAGCATTTTTCAGCTGTCTTAAATACATAAATAAATACTACATGTTGCCTAAAATAGAGTATTAGAAGAAGAAGAGAAGCGCGAATATTAGAATTGGCTGAGAAAATTTGAGTTTGATTCGAATTAGATTGAACGTAAAAATAAGATGAAGGATAAATGGTGAAGTAAATTCACAGAGAAATGCATAGAGCAGCTTATTATAAGAATTGTGAGAATCACATAGAGAGGTGATTGAAAGAAGTTAACTCGTGTCCTCAGATGAGATCCGTGAGGTTCCTATTGAAAACGGCAGACTTTCAGATGAGAATCGTGAGAATCGCTTAGGGAGGCGATTGGCAAAAAGAAATTTAGAACATTTTACGTTCTCTCTCTTCTGTCTCTCTCTTCTCTCTCTCACTTATTTCTGCCAAAAACAACGCAAATTGCATGCAAATGGCGCCACTTCCAACTGCCACCTGCCACCTGCTACTCGCCTCCGCCCACGCAGACCGCAGCAGCAGCAGCTGGACTTTAGAAAAAAGCCGCTGCCCACATATCATTATGTAAGCGCTGCAAAAACACAAAAAAGAAAGGATTTGCGATATCAACTGAAAAGTGTTTAGCCTTAAAATGAAAAAATAAAGCTAATAAAAAATGTGTCGCGCGTAAATCTCGGCGTAGACACCGACTTACTCTGCCCCGCCCACTGCCTACCGCCCATCGCCCAGCAGCCTAGCAGCCTGCCAGCCTGGCCAGACCGTAGCTCATTATGCACATTTGTTGCCATGCCACGCCCCATTTTTTGCGATTTTTTTCTCCTCGTTTTTTTTTTGCATTTGTAGCTAATAATTTTAATGTTATTCAAAATTATGTAGCAAAAAAAAATGGATGTAGAAGAAGGAAGTGGAGTAAAAGATGCTGAGCTGACCATGTGAAAGCATTTTTTGGGGCGTCTCGCTCACGCACACACACATACACACTCGCACACACAGTTATAAATTGCATTTGTATCTAAAAGGACATTAATTCGGTGTGTGGTTCACAGCGCCATCTAGACCCACCGGCGGCAAGCAGTGCGGGCAAGCAGTCAAACTGCGTCCCCTGCTTGTGTGTGTGCATTTATATATATACATGTAGGAATGTGTGTGTGTGTGTATGCTTTGTGCATTTCTTACTCGCCTCAATATTTTATAATTTCATTTTTTTTCTTCGTTGTTTTTCATTTCTCCGCGCTTCGCCTAGCATAAATAGAAAAAAAATAAACAGCCACGCACATGATGTCCCGTTTGCTGCTTATCCCCAGCCGAACTCGGACACACAACCACACACACATACACTCACACACACATGCTGTCACATATTGCTACATCTTTCATTATGTAAATGCACGCTTTACACATTTTTTTTATTTCTCTTTTTGTTTTTTGCCTTTGCTGTCCAGCACTTACACTGCCTGCCCATATAGCTCTCTCTGTCGCTCATCAGCGGCTGGGGATTTGCGCGCGCTGTATGTATATATAGAAAAAAATATCGCTGCATATATAAATATATATACATACATATGTATATATGGTAAGATGTTTTCTGTGTGTCTTTTACAACTATTTGCAGCTTCAACGTGTTTTATCACGTTTTAAAAGCAGTTTTTAAAAATTAAAAGCACGTCCTAAGTCCACATTTGGTCCGCACAGCAGCTGCTGCTGCTGCCCAGAAACGAACTCGAGTGCACGGCGAACCCTGGAACAAAAACATCAAAAAAGAACCCAGCCAAATTGACATACAACCAACAACTGACCACTAAGTGCGCCGCTATCTTGACGAAACAATTCAAGACAAACTGAGCTGGCAAACTGACAAAGGAAATTATAAATAAAATGAAGAATAAGGTGTAAGTGAAAGAAGAAGAGCTCTGTGGGAAATTTGTGGAAGAAAGAGAGAGAGAGAGAGAAAGTGGGAAAGGAAGAGAGTGTGAGGAAAGTGATAGATAGAGAAAGATAGAGAGAGGAAGATAGAGAAGGAGAAGAGCAATTTAAATTGTAAGAAAGAAAAAGAGGTTATGGATAGAGAGGGAGAGAAAAGGGGAAATAGGAAGAAAGACGCGGAAACGAGTTCAGCTAATGACTTGCATTTTAGAAAGATATTACACATATCTTAACATATATATGATTTCGATAAGGAGATAAATTCATCAGAAATTCATCTTCATTCAGCCTTCTTCTATCTCACTTTGTTTTCATGTCAGCCAATAAAAATGATCAGAAAATGTTATGAGATTCGCATAGAGAGGCTATACTGCATGCCACGATTGTTTATCGGCAGCATGTGCCTATCGATAGCTTCGTTTATATGCAGCTGAATATATTTAATATGTTCTTATATTACGTGAATTTCGTGGGCGTGGGCGTAGGCGTGGCCATGGACAAATCTGGCAAAGTGTGCTGCAGTTGTTGCTGTCGCAAATGCCTTTTGCGGCGGGCATAAATTTCAGCGCTAATCATAGAGATGCGACAACAGCAGCAGCAGCAACAAGAACGAGCTGGTCCACAACAAGGAGGAGCACTTATCCAACGCATGGCCATAAAAAGTGCGCTAATGTTAACCCGTTGCTGTCGTTTGAATTACAACATTCAGTAGAGCAAGACCGCAGCTAACAGGAGCGTGGTGGGGGCTGGCTCCGCCCACAGGCGCCCTTGCAGCATCTTTACATATGCAGGCAACAATGTCTTAGCCTAAAAGTAGGCAGCTTTACGTAGCTCGCATGATAATTTAATTACAGCAGTGGGATTGCGAGGGCGGTCGGTGGTCGGTGGTCGGTGGTCGGTGGCTTTCGGTTGGCGGTTGCGCGAGGCAGCATCAATCTCGGGCTTAGGCAAGACAATCTGCCCATATAGTACACCTATACATATCCACATTATCCTTGGCACCTCGGCGAGCCAAAGAGCGCCAGATACCAAGCAGTTAGCAGCAACTTATCATTTAGATTGGGTATGTGCGACTTGCCATTTGGCACCTTTGAATGAAATATACATACATATAAGCAAGCTGCATATTTGCCAGCTGGTAACGGAATTTATCCGCAGGATAAACATATTCCATTGGAATTTGACAAGAATTTGTCAGAGATAGGCTCTGTGTGTGCTAAACAAATAGTTATCAGACACTTTAACTGCATGGTAAATACGTACAATGAGCAAATGCCTTACTGACATGAGCTGCATATTTGCCAGGCAGTTAAGCGGCTGTTAAATTTTGTCCACTATTAAAATCATTACAAATTTCAACGTGTTCAAATTGCCATTTGCTCATGCTTAACATGACTGGCAAAAGTTACCAGGCACTTAATCTGCCTGGTATTTTATGATATTTTTTCTCAATTTTATCTTCAAAGTATCTAAAATTTAACTTGGAGTGTATAGCCTTGAGCACAGTTCCACAGTCATGGCAATTGCTCTAGAGATTTCAGCGCGTCAATACGCCCCATTGCCCATTCGATGCCATTTACAGGGTATAATTATATATTAAATTAAGCCATTTGCATGCGCGTATTTTTGGGGCAGAGGGGCTCAGCTAAGGGCCACAGCGCTGTCGCTTCTCAACCCGGTCGTGTTGTAGATTATTAAAAATTATGTCTCACAGTAGGACATGCATTGCGCAGGCAACTGTTAGCCCAGCCCCCAGCCACCAGCCCCCAGCCCCCCTCTGCACGCCACGCCACTCTCCAATCCCAGCTCCAGTCACATAGGCCACATTAATGTGCTACTCAGTCAGCGTTGCGATAAGCAGCAGCAGCAGTAGCAGCAGCAGTTGTAAAAGTGGTAAAAAATTTTCTATTTTCTGGTTTTTACTTTTTTTTTTATTTTTAAACATTTATTATTGTTGCAGTTGCTGCTGCTGCTGCTGCTGTTGTGTTGCAGACGCAAATCCACGCAAAAATTATATTTTGACGTTTGTCAGCGGCTGGGGCCAACGGGGTCCAGGTGGGTGGCAACAAGATGTGGCCTAAGCCAAAAAAAAACCAAATGGCATAAACTTTGAGCCTTCCCCCAAAAAAACGATGCAAAATGCACTTTGGGGGCCTGGGGGGTCAAGTGTAGGTGTTGCCCCACATTGAAAATGATCAAAAGAGGCAGATAGAAGATAGAAGATAGAAGATAGAAGATAGAAGATATAAGATAGAAGATATAAGATATAAGATATAAGATATAAGATATAAGATATAAGATATAAGATATAAGATAGAAGATAGAAGATAGAAGATAGAAGATAGAAGATAGAAGATAGAAGATAGAAGATAGAAGATAGAAGATAGAAGATAGAAGATAGAAGATAGAAGATAGAAGATAGAAGATAGAAGATAGAAGATAGAAGATAGAAGATAGAAGATAGAAGATAGAAGATAGAAGATAGAAGATAGAAGATAGAAGATAGAAGATAGAAGATAGAAGATAGAAGATAGAAGATAGAAGATAGAAGATAGAAGATAGAAGATAGAAGATAGAAGATAGAAGATAGAAGATAGAAGATAG